CCTTTGCTGCCATAGGCACATAATTGCCGTGTCTTTGATGGCTGATAGCAAACTTTTAAGACCTCAGGCACCACACAAGAGACTAGGAGGTAGAATAGAAGAACTGAACATGATATGAGGATGGTGAGATGTCACATGACCTCAAACCTCCAAACCATGACCTCAATCCATGACCTTAATCCACCAAACGAAGAAAATGGTCCTCGAAGGTGTTTCGTTGTACAGAAGCAGTCTCCCCTCACTTCACTGTCGCAAATGCATTTATCATTCAACATGTGCAAATGCAACTTACGGAGGCGTGTGATTAGGAACAGCAATGGCAATATCCTTAATGTGATTTTCCCATCACCATGACTCCCCCTTGTTCTTCTCCCTTCCATCACGAACAACTGATAATAAACGTTGGTCTCTCTACAGCTGCCATTTTTTGTCTTTTAATATAAGTGAGGTCATATAATAATTATCCTTTTCAGTTGTGTTAACCTGGGTTCTCTACAGTTGCAAACCCTGTCTCTCTCCCCTCCCCCTCCCCATCCCACAGAAAGTCTCAGGCCTTTGAAATAAAACCAAGCAAGAAGACCATCGCTTGAGAGCCACACTGTACAATACAGCACCCAGCAGCCACCTGCGGTTCTTTCAACGAAAGTGAATAAAAATTAAACAGCTCTTCAGCCACTCTGCAAATACTCAACAGGGGAAGCGCGCATAGATGGAGAACATCATAGATGGAGAACCTCCCCATCCTCGCTGAATTTTCGTTGGCGGTGTTGCTCTAGTTTTCGGTGAGTTCCTTTGCAAACATTGCTGAGGACAAAGAAGAGGCTTTTCTGTTCAGGCAGGAGGGCTAACTCCCCAAATCCAGAGGCAGTTCTATCCTGTCCTATTAGGTATCTGAGTCAGGATCCACTCGATGGCAGTGCGTTTGGTTTGGGTTTGGTTTGCAAATATAACTTTCTTTAAGCCTTCCTGCCACACGGCTTCAACAACAGACCGCTGGGAGAGTCAGTGAGCTGTCAGCCATTTGTGAAGCACTCTTCCCAGTGCCTGTCACCCGTGCTGGCTCCACAAGACATTTGCATGTTAACAGCACCTGTATTAAAAGAAAGAAAGAGAGCTTCTCCAAGCATCACAGTATTTTAACGGGAATAAATCCATGGTCACGGTTGATAGGGACAGAGACTCTGAGAGCCAGGAGGAAGGCATTTCCTTCTTGGCCTGGCTTTGTATTTTCACAGGGAGACAAGCAGGGCATGAGACTGCACCGGTGTGGCAGCATCTCTGGCCCTGAATCCTTTTGTTTCTTTCTTGGCGTGTGCGTCCAATGAGGTGAAAACGTGTCTGCAAAGGAGTGTTTATCCTATAGGTGTCAACACAGCGTTGGGTCCAGACAGGCAAATGGGCTGCTTTAATGGGAACCGTGTATACACAGCAAGAGTAATTACTTTGGGCTACAGCTGCCAACATGATTTAGCAAAGTCCCAGCCTGCAAAGGACTGACGGGCCCTGGGAGAATGGGCTCAAACTCAACGCCAACGATGGAGACCTACCTGAGCTTCCCCTGCCAAGGGCTCTTTGGGGCCTTATATAATTTGAATTCTTCAGACCAATGGTATTGAAATTCCTTAGGCCAATTTCATCCTGAGGGAACAGCCAGATGACATGTGCAGTATGACCTCATGGTTTAGGATTTCTGCATGATAATCAGCGCAGTATGCTCTGACAGGCAATGAGGGAAAGCATTTGGACGAAATTCCACTTTGCTTTCACGACTGTTCCCTCTCATCTGAACACCCCTGACTTTTCAAAAGCACCTCAAGGCCGGAGCAGCTACTTTCCCATCGTCAAGGGTGGTGGGCATCAGGAAGGACCGCAGGTTCTTACCCTGGGCTGGAAGTGAATGTTCTGTTCAGCTCCTGGAGTACGGGAAGTTCCCAGGCAGCACAAGGAAAGTTGCATGAGATCTTTGCCGGTCTGGTGGCTTCTCGCTTGCCCATGGCGAGAATGCACGTCCTCCTTGCGTGCGCTCCAGCTGTCACAGGTCAGAAGAAGGGAGGGGGGCGGTCTTAGGTTGCACAAAGAGCTCCAGTGGAGTAGTGCTTCCAGGTTCGGCTGCTAACCCCAAGGTCAGCGGCTCCTTGGGAGAAAGAGGCGGCTTTCGACTCCTGTGCAGAGTGACTGTCTTGGAAACCCATGCCTGTTCTGGGGGGTTACTAGAAGTTGGGACTAGCTTGATGGACATGAGTTTGGTGTACACTCCAAATGATTGATCTTTATTTGCTTGACAGCATTAAATTCTTCCAACCATGAGCCAGAAGCCAACCTTTAGTCTCTTTATCTTGATTGATTGCATTTCTCTGCAGCCGTCCCTGTCTGAGCTGACTGAGGAACCTGACTGCTCTGAAACTGACAACTGCAATTTTGCTCCGGACCTTCATTTTCATATGGTCCCTTTTAATTCTGATTCTTGGCACCGACTGCAGCAGATGAGCCGTTTTAATGGGGAGAACTCAGCAAATGGGTGGTGATCTGTGTTAGAGGCCCAGAGTTGCAATCTCAGCTCAGTTTTTAAGAGGCCCGGGAGACCTTCACTCGTCATGAATTTTCACAGTACCATGGTGGAATACCAATACTTTTTGGCTAAGTGTGAAGCTTAAAAGAGAACCTTAGTGACAGAGTGGGTTTCCCATTGGGCTAATTGCAAGGCCAGCAGTTCCAAACCACCCTCTGCTCCGAGAGAAATAGGAGACTCTTGTCAAGATTTATAGCCGCAGACACCCACAGGGTCTGTTCTGCGCTGTCCTATGGGGTAGCTACCAGATGGAATAGACTCACCGGCACGGAGTATGGTTTTTCACTTTCGTGAGGTTTAATTATGTGCAGATAAAGTAACCCCAAAAGACACATGGACATAGCTACGAAGCCCTCATTCCTTATCATAAGCTTACCTGCACGTGCGTGCGCGCACTCGAACCAGCGATGCTGGGAGGAGGCACTAATGTGGTGGTCTAACATCTTTCTGAATTTGTCTTTAGATTTTACTTTTGAAAAACTCACTTGCGACCCCAGGGCCTAGAGCACTGACCCCGCCTCCGCCCCGCTGGCCCGGCCTAAGATAGTTACATTGATATTTCTGAGCGCTGTTGCAGTCTGCTGCCCTGTTGTCTGTCTGCTGGGGAGTCCTGCAGGTGTTCCCACATCTCTGCAATTCCCTTCCTCCCCGTCTGTCCAGCACCTCCCCCGCTGCTGTGCATCCTGCTCTCTGCACAGCCCCCCACCCCCCCAACACACACACACACACACACACACACACACTCCCCTCAGCCAGGGGTCCCCTGATAAAGTGCTGCATGGCCTCTGGGGACTGGTCAGCCCTCCACTCCTTACCCCCTTTGCTCATCACTTGACCTGGTGCAGAAGCTTCTACAGGCCCTACACGGCAGCCTCTCGGTTCCAGGGCAGCCCTGGCTGCCTGTCACTGGATGCTGAGCTCCATCACTACGAGGAAGTGGCTTCTGCTGCCAGGCTGAGTGAGCCTGGGAGTGGTTTCCCCAGTCCAGAAAAAAAGAAAAAAAACAAAACTCACTTGCATCTGCCTTGAAGGAAAAAAAAATACATTCTCGGAGAGCCATTCCATTTGGTTGGAATTTTCCCTCATTCCATCTACTAATGTGTAGGCAGGACCCTTTGGTATTTACGACAGTACCTGAGCTGTTTTTACTGAAGATCTTGGATAACCCTCCTGAGTGGGCAGCAACCTGGGCCCGATGCTCACGACGTGGTTGTCACGCCTACCACTCTTTTTGATCACATCCCTGCCTGGGGTGTACATTCCGTTTGGGCAGGAAACCAGTCGTGCTCATCGCTATATGTTCAGTCAGTGCCCAGTACTCAAACGACTGCAACTCTTTCCAGACGCAGAAAGCACCAGCTTAATCTCCCAAGTAGCAGCAGCTGGTTACTAGCCCTATGAGCTACCAGTATGTCACCAGGCTCAGTCAGTCTAAACCTAAACCAAACCCACTGCTAATGAGTTGATTCAGACTCACAGGCCTCTGAGGCCTGTAAATCCTGATTGGAGTGCATAGCCTCAATTTTCTCACATAGACCAGCTGGTTAGTTTGAACCTTTAACCTGGTGGCTAGCAGTCCAATGCTTATACAAGTGTTCCTGGGGCTCCTAGTGGGTCAATAGCAGGCATTTGGTGACAGACTAGAGAAACTGAGTAACGAAACAGAAATCTAGAGGGTGCCAGGGAGCATTTTCACCCCACCCCTATAAGGAACCTCTTAGTGACTCACGATTTCAGAACAATTCAAATGAGTAAGGCAGTCTAGGCCTGCATTTTACTTTATACCAAGCTAGGCAAACAGGTCTGGAGGCACAAATAAAAGTAGCTTTGGGTATGACTTTTAAGAAATGATAATTGCATTGGGCACCCCCAATAAAATTATTTTATTAAAAATATTAATTGCGTAGGGCTCTGGATTCCCCTCTGACCCATGTAAACATTTGAAAAAATAAAAAGTTTTACTAAGACAGTGAAGCTTTTACTAAGACACATCACACCTGAGGACTGGACAAATTTCTACTACAAAGAACTCTTTTAGAAGCATTATCTACGTTATCTATAGCTCCATCTTCACCAGTTTTAAATTATTAAATCCAGCACTAATTAGTCTGAATACTTTTCAGGCAAAAAATAACCACCACCACCACCCCCAAATCACTGCCACCCATTCCAACTCCTCATGACCGTCTAGGACAGCACAGAACTGCCCTGTCGGCTTCTAAAACTAAGTCTCTGCAGGGTCAAAAGCTTCATTTTTTTCTGCAGAGCCGCTGGTGGTTTCCAACTGCTGGCCTTGCTGTTTTCGTAGCCCAACATGTGACCCACTATGCTACCAGGGGCCCACCAGTGTACTGTGATGAGCTGAAGCTTAGGTGTGAGACAGAGGTCACCTGAGATTCTTCTCCCTTTCAAATAACAGAAGCTAAATCCATTCAATTTCACAAAGAATACATTTATTTGGTGCCGCTCAGTACAAAACACTGACAACTGCTGAAGGGGAACATAAAGATGTGCACACAAGGCCTGCTGCCCTCCAGGAGCGTACAGTCTAGGCAGGGAGTCACATGGAGTAAGTGGTGCTCATACTGCAGTAGGGGCGCTCTCTAACAGTGGCTCACAGCATCTGAGATCTGCTCAAATATGTCAGGAGTTTCTCCAACAGGAAAGCCAGACGATGGGAAAGAGGCCTTTTGTGGAATCACACATTGACCTTGGTGTCATGAGCATCTTTCTGTTGCTTGTTCTTGTCGCTTTTGCAGTTAGCCTTCCCTACCGAGACCTTCATTTGGAGGGAACCTCGAGGCTTCCTCAACCTCCACTAGCGTTTCCTGTTTTGCTTGTGAGTGGCTCAGTTGCAGTTTGGCCTTGTTGGGAGTTGCAGCCCGAGTGTGCCTTCAGTCTATGGCTCGGTCTGTACGCGAGGGTGGTATGGTTTGCGTGCTGTGGCTTGGAGCGTGGGCGTGTGCGCTGCAGTATAGAGGAAAGCAGGCCAGGCTTTACCCTTCTTTGAAACGTTTAATAGTGCACTTAATGGGGTATATATTCTGTACAGATATAGAGCAAGTTATAAAACTCTTCTTTTTATTCTCTTTTCACTTAAATTGTATTCATGTAAAGTGTATTTACAATAGAAAACACAAAGTCTTGAGGTACAAAACCCAAAAGAATATCTGAGGTATAAATACAAGTATATTTTAAATAATAATCTTCATCATGCTTTATCCATGTTTGAAAGCACAGTGGACATGTGTACACGTTTCGTAATAGAATGTATGTACAGCACAGAATTTTACAAATCTGAAAGCCATTAACATGAAATAGACATGTCTATCTTCTTGAGGAACATTGGTCACCAAAATACGCAGATTTCAGAACTCACCTGCTCCCACCTTAAAATTCTTCAAAGAACCTTAGAAATAACACTGACAACGGTAACTAAATTAGGGTATAACAAAATAAAAATCCTTCTGACAACTCTCAATCACACAGTATCCACTTTTGATCCATACAAAATAAATTTATTAATACTGTCTCTTGAGTCATCTGACCACTACAGTAAAACCTGTATAAAAGATCACCTTTCCAAACAACCGTGCTTTCCTCGTTTTGTGTTTTCCATATCACTAACATATATTCCAAGGGTACTATAAAGGAAAAGACACGGAGGAAATACTAAACAAAAATAGGTCCTCACACCCAAAACGTTATTTGCTGGTAAGGACGAACCCAGTTAATAAACACGTGCAGCTTTCAGAAACGCCGTCAGCGAAGAAAGCATGATGGTTTGTGGTCGGGCTGAACCCACAGGGATTTCCCTGGGGAATGCAGTTTCCTCCACCTGTCTTAAAATGTCTGTTATAAACATGAAATTGCAAATAAGAATCTTAGCAGTTAAAAAAAAACATGTCTGGATGTTTGACCGGGAGTGTTACGGGACATTCAACCGCACACAGCTGCAGTGATCTGCACTGGCCAAATATTAGCATGGCAGCGGGGATCCGGTCAAAAAATTGTGCATCCGAACTGAGAGAAGAATCAACCTGGAGAAGTCAGTTTGAAGATAAAGTTAGCAAAGGAGGAGGAAGAGGTTTACTAACGGGGGGCGGGCACCAAACCAGCAAATGAACAAAGGGGTTGGGGCTCCTTTTTGGATGGACCCGTGGGTAGATTCCACGTGAAACGAAACCTGGCGCATCAACGTCCTTCCTGGAGGTGTCACAGTGTGCCAGACACTGGATTCCAACCTCCGCGCCTCCGCCATTCAACCAGCAATCACACACGTTCACACACTCCTCTGTACAAACCATCCCCTTTGCTCATCAACGACTCCAGTGGATACACAGCCCCTCGCCACACTGCCGGTCAATGACCCCGCTCCACATACACCGAGACCACAAGAGAATGAGGTCTCTCCATTCGCTCCCATAATGCATTTTAAAGCTTTGCTTCTCAGAAGCAATTTGAGTAAGATTAGAAATACATTTTTTGGTACACTCTTACATATTCCAGTCAAGGCCCACATAATAGACCCTAAACCAACAGGAAGCAGCTTTAAAACATGTATCAAATTGCTATCGTCTTGATTCCTGCAGTCCTATGTGTAGTTTTCTGCTCCAGGAGCGGGTGCAGGGCCCATGCGTCCCAGGACTGGTGAAGGGTCCAGAAACAGGCTCGGGTGGGGGCACAGTTGCTCCGCTGCCATCATCACCTAGCTCTGGTATCTTTGGTCTCAGTGTTCTGGTGGCTGAAAGAATCTCGAATCTTCACAACTTCTGCTGCACACAAGTGTCCGAAGGATTTTGTGTACCACTCGGGCATGTGGCCACTGTAGGAAATAAAAAGGGAAGAGCAGAAGACTCACTCAGTTGGAAAGCACCGAGGTAAGCAGAAGGGAGTTCTGAGTACCCTTCCATTTCTTGATCAGCAAGCGAAAAACTACTCTTGTAAGGCGATTATTACTGTGAGGCAATCTCCCGGCACATCTGCCCCATGTGAAAACTCCACAGCCATTGGATGGATTCTGATTGGCGGTGACCAGGCAAAGGTTTCTGAGGCTGTCATTCTTCCCTGGAACGGACAGCCTCGTCTTTCTCCCACAGAGTGGTGGGGAGGTTTCAATTGCTAACCGTGCAGTTAGCCATCCAACCCTATCTCCCAACAGCACCGGCAGGGCTCCTTCTTGTTACACGTCAGCAAGGACTAACATCTCTCCGTACAGAGCGTGAATCCGGGAGAGCGCCGGCATGTACACCCCACACAGAACGAATGCATGGATAAGGAAGCAGCACCGAGACGGAAACACTGCAAATGAGAATTTACTTGCGGCTCTTTTCTTCTGCCGCTCATCTCACTCGTGTTCCGATATGAATACTGTGTAGCTATGGTAGAGGGCACGGGCTTAATTATAAAGTCTAGGTTCCATGATTCCAGCACTTCTGAATATAAAAGAACAGCTGCTTTCTAGTTGAAAACAGTAACACTTATTCTTTCCTGGAGCTCTAAATTCTTACCAGATCCACCAAAGCCCCCTTGTTTTAGTATTATTTTTTGAGGGACAGAAAGTAAAATCTCAAACAAACGTATTGCCGTTGAGTCAATTAAGACTCACAGAGACCCTGTAGGACAGGACAGAACTTCTCCTGTGGGTTTCTGAGATTCTAACTGTTTACACGCGTTAGGGGAGTAGAAAACCAACTCTTTCTCCCTCTGAGTGGCTGGTAGTTTTGAACTGCTGACCTTCGCAACCACTACACCTGGACGAGGGCTCCTTAGAAATGAAGACGTGGTGTCTCACAGGCCAAGAAACACACAGATGTGACAAAGTACCAATCTACCATGGAGTCATAACAACGATGTGCTTGTTGTTGCCTATGCCCCGCCGCACCAGAGACAGCCAGCCGGCTGCACCAGACAGTCTGAACCTTCACCCGGCCCTCGCCTGGTCAGAAGGAGTTGGAACGTACCGTAAGTCAGCTCTGCACATGTAGGTGAGTTTGGATCTTCCGGACCCACAGGGCTCAATCAGATACCGGGAGAGGAGCACGTTAACTCGCACGCCCACCACAGGGGCCCGGTCGTGATCCACAGAGGTGAGTAAAAGGGCACACGCCCCTTTGGGTAAATTAGTCCTCCATGTTCTGCAAAGACAAACCAGAGGGTAAACATGAGATTTCCTGGAGGCCAAGTGTTAACAGGGGAGGCAGGTCAGGGTGTTGCCCCAGCCCTGGGCACGTGGCATACTCTAGAACGGCCCAAGGGCTCACTTCTTTCAAGAGTGTGACCGGAAACCACTTTCATAGTGAACAAATGTATTAGAACACTGGTGTCTGGGTCTCTGGTCCTAGGTTTACCACTGCTACAGCCAGTTGCTGTCGTCAACTCTTGACTCATGCTGACTGGATGTCATCAGGGTAGAACTGGGTTCCACAGCGCTGCTAACAGATGCCTTTTCAAAAAAGATCACCAGGCCTTTCTTCCAAGGTCCCTTGAGAGTGGACTGAACCGCTGACCTTTTGGCTAGCAGACATGTGCATTCACTGTTTATACCACTAAGTTAGGTTTAAAAAACAAACAGAAACCAAACACACCCACAAAGCCACTGCCATGAACTACTTCGGGACTCCTAGTCACTCAATAAGGCAAAAGCCAACAGCAGCACAAAGTGCCCAAGGCGGTTTATCCTTACAGAAGAAGCAGAGCCTCATCTTGCTCCCTCAATGCGCTGGTGTGTTTGGACAGCCACCCCTTGGGTTCCCATCCCAATGCTCAACTCACTGCACCACACGGGCTCCAACCAATGCCAGAAGCTAGTGGCTTTTATAGGCTGCTGTCCCCTCACACACTCATGAGCAAGCCAGAAAGTGTCACTTCTGGTCAAGATGTTTCTCTGGGACCCGCACACCCAGGGGACCATACGGGGGTGAGACCAACTCATTGGCACCCGGAGTTTACCAAGCAGCCTGCTCTGGGTGGGTGGGTTGTGCCCTTCTGAACGGCTTCCCAAGGACTCAACTGCTTCTCTGAACGAAAACCAGACACTGGGCACAATGTGCACATTAACCAACGTAGCAGAACATGGGCATCCCAGTGAGGACTGCTCTCTGTGAAAAGTTCCTGACCCGGCCTAACAATGTCATATTTACACAAAGATTTTTGGAATTCCTCTTTCCAGAGATTTTATGAATTGCTTATAAATCCGTTTTAACCACATCTCACTTGGGACCTGGATGCTACTTCCTGGGTTATTCATTCACTAAATTGGGATGCAAGTCAGTATCGGCCATTCCTCACATGGAAATCTGCCCTCAACGGGGTAGAATCAGAGAGCAGCTGTGTAAGAAGGAAGGTGCCTTTCCTCCTGAGCTCAACCCCAAACAGAGTTCAAACTGCTTGCAGTGATCAACATGCTCAAATCCCTCCCTTGTCAGGGACCCACACTCTGCTGAAGGCACAGACTCTACTGGAATCATTCTGTTACCTTGAAAACACTCTCCCTGCCATAGAGTGGATGCTGACTCATAGCAACTGCATTGGACAGGGAAGGACTATCCCTGGAGTTTCAAGATGCTCCCCCTCCATGGGACTAGAAAGTCCCGTTTTCCTCCCGTGGATCAGCTTGTGGTTCCAAACTGGTGACCTGGTGGGTTGCAGCCCAGCATGTAACCACGACACCACCAGGACCAGTGACTACAGGCTTGCTGACTTCTAGCTCCCCTGCCCACCAGGACCCAGTGGGGCTCTCACCTCAGAACGACGTAGTCGCGGGCAGGGTGCGGTGCCATGCTATTCTGGACGTACTGGTAAATCTCCGTCTGGCTGTCCAGGATTTCAATCACTTTCGAATCCAGCAAGTCTACGTCCCAGAGGTGCTGCTCCTTCAGGAGGCGCTTCAAGACGTCCTCCGGCGGTGCAGGGACTTCAATGGTTGACCTCCACAGCCTCAGCGGGGGTCCCTCACTCACCTGGAAACAAGACGGGTTTTGCGACGTGAGGACAACTCATACACATTTCGACTTTAACAGACAACTGTTAGCTGGGGAGCTAGTCTTATGCTTACCACATTACTGTCAGCTACTCACAGCGAACTTTTGAACACCTTGGGGAGTGTGGGTGCCGGCCTCCCACACAGTCAAAGAATTGAGTATTGTTTACAGTTTGACATGTGGATTTGTGTGTGTAGTGCGTTGCTATTTTTGTGGGCCCGAGTGTTACAAGTCTCTGTTGAAGATGCTGTGTGCTGATCATCTCCAGCACACAGTGGACTGTGCAGTGGGCACTCACAGTACCCGGGTGCATCTCAATAGTGGGCGGGGGATTAACTCTGTGTCGCGGTGTGCCCTTGTGGTTCCGATCTGTGCTGTTTGAGATCAGCTGTGGCATCAAGGAAGTAAGAGACGGGATCAACAAATCCCTCCTTTTCAATCACGTTAACTCCTACCAGATGCTCGCTTGCCCTTCAAAGAGCTTGCCAGGCTGATGAGTTAAACTCCCCCTACACGCTTCTAGCTCTCTAAAGGGCCAACAGTTTATGACTGAAGGCACGGGCAACAGCTGGGGCATTCTGACCAAGTTATAAAGTTGAAGACACCACAAATGTCCCGAAGCCCAGCACGAAGAGCAGACAGAGCCGAGGAATGTCCCATCTCTTGCAGCGCTGGCAAAAGGCCCCCGCTCTGACCCACGTCTCCTGAGCCCTGGAGCCCAAACGGCAGGCCAGGAACGTACCTTCTTGTAAGACAGCTCAGCCTGCTCAGAAGTGGAGTGGCTGACCCAGCCTTTAAACTTCTCTTTCACCTCTTTAAACAGGCTGTCCACACAGTCCTGGAGGAAGTGGTGGTAGCCGGTGGGCTCGTCATGACTGAGGCGCCCCAGTGCTTCCAGAGTGAGGGGCTTCAGCTCTTGTTCCGTGTAGGAGTTCCGACACCGGCTCATTTCCTCAGGGACCTGGGGAGGAACACAAGAGGGGGAAAGGGCTCAGCCCATGGGGGTGGGGGTGGGGGGGCACGCATGCTCGCTGGGCAGCCACGCAAGTGGCGGACAGACACGATGGGCTGGAAACGCAAAGCAACGCAGGTGGTCCTGTGCTTCTCACAGATAGATGGCAGGTGTTCCTCCCTCGGCCTCGTTCACTATCCGGAGGCTGAGAAACGGGCCTGCACGGAGCTAGCGAATAAGCTGCTCTCGTGTAAGGCAGCCTTGGACACATTTCAGCGAGAGGCAAGTTTAATGAAAATTGGGCTCCCACTGGTCTAGATGGTTCCTCTGACCCAGGGTTTGTTTCAGATGGCTTACAGCTTTCGCCTTCTAAATCCAGGAGTTGAAACAGCCAGCATATTAAAGTTCCAATACGCTTGCTTATACAAGTGTCTGCAAGCCATCGCCAGCTGCAGCAAAATGTCTTTCTCTCAAAGGCAGAGATGAATCGAGCCCAGACAGTGCCCCCTTTAACAAAGGAGCTCAGTCCGGTGACCCCACTCCTTACCTGGAACAGTTTCTTGCACTCTGCGACCATGTGGGCCAGCCCTTGAGCGGCCGCTAAGTTTTCATTCAAATCTTTCTGATCGGGCTTGCCCAGACTTTGTTTCCGCTGCATCACCCTAGGGACAAGGATAAGCGGGGGGTACAGATTGAAGCAGCTATAGATTTTTTATCCGTGTGACTTTGAGAAACATTTCACTGGAGCCTGTCTGCTGACAGATGGACTGATGCACCAGAGTAGTACGTACGTGTACACACACACACACACACACACACACACACACACACACACACCCCACTAAGGAATGTTCTCGATGAAACCCAGGCTCTTTCAAGTCAGGCCATGAAGCAGGTCAGCGTGCAAGGTCTAGGCATGGGTGGTGGGGAGGAAGGAAGGGGCTTCTGAGGAGTGTGTGGGTGGGAGGCTCTGAGAGTTGGGGTAAATAGTGTCACCATTCTTTCCTGTTTAAACAAACAGGATCTCTTCCCAAAGGTGAGAGATGAGAAGTCTATTGTATTCTCAGGGCTCTGGTCTTAATCTTATCTGATTTCCCTCTTCAGCTCCTTCTTCTCTATCCCGTTAAAGTTGGAAGGTCCCAGCAACGGAGATCCAGTTAAAGGACTAAGTACTTATGGCATCCAGAAGCAAAGCTGCTACAATCGAAGCCCCGCTCTTCCTAAGACCTATGTCAAGAACCTTTGGACAGCTGGACAGAGCCCGTGTGTGGGAGCTGAAGTCCAGCAGACTTGAGGGTGGGCACTGAAGACGACCCTGGACGAGAGGAACCGCCAGTGAGCACAAGCAGGAGCTGCGTGGAGCGGGCAGTGCTTCCTTCTGTTACACACAGACGGGCTGTGCGTCAGAACGGACCACAGCACCCAACAACGAAGTCCCCTAGGGACTCCTGTCTCCTCACACCCCAGCGAGTGGCTCATCAGCGCCCTGGTGGGGCAGCTGATCACACGTTGGGCTGCTGAACCACAGGTCAGCACTTTAACCCCTCAGCTCTTCCTGGGGAGAAGGAGGCAGCTTTCTGCTTCCGTAAGATTTACAGCCTCAGGAACCCACCTGGGCACTTCTATTCTGTCCTACAGGGTCGCTAAGAGTAGAAATCGACTTGAGGGCAGTGTTTGTTTTTAAAGTACGTGCTGCTGCCCAGTTAGTGGACTCCTGGATCACGCTGACCCCTGGCGCAATGGTGGGCAACGCTGCTTGGTCCTTCATACCAGGCTGAAGTAGATCACCAGGCCTTTCTTCCGACTCTCTTAGTCTGGAAGCTCTCATGAAACCTTTCAGCATCACTGCAACGCACAAGCCTCCATGGACAGGTGGGTGATGGCAGCACGAGAGTCCAGGCCCGGAATAGAATCCGGGTCCCTCCCTGACCCACCATGTTCCTGCACCCGAGAGAGGTCTTTATATTCAGATGGGCAGGAGAAGCAAAACAGGCCTGCCATTTCTTCCTGTCCACGGGAAGTTATTCCCAAACCAATCTTCCTCTAAAGCCTGTCTTCCTCATGTATCAAGTACACACTGACCTTGCAAGACTGTTTGGAAAATTAAATAAGAGAGCAAACATAAAAAGGCTTAGCTCATGGTCTCCGAATAGAATACGTACTCAGTAAATGCCAACCTTTCTTATTTTTCAGGTAAGTGTGACTGTTTCTACTTTTCTGTGTGTTCTGTGCAATCAAAGTTTGTTCTGAGGCCAGATCCTGAATCTCACTCACTGCCATCGAGTCAATTCTACGGAGCAGAGCAGACCTGCCCTCTGTGACTTTCTGAGGCTGTCCATCTTTACACGAGCAGAAGCGCCCAGTGGTTTCAAACAGCTGACCTTGCGGTTAGCAGCCCAGTGCATAAGCACTATGCCAAGACCAGCTTTACTTTTAGCTCTTTTAGGTTTTGGCTACATTGCCCTTCCATTTCCAGCACTGACTCAGAGGACTGGCTGCAATGACCACACGGGTCCCAAGCAACGAGGGTTTTCTTCTCTGTCCTAGTTTGTTAGGCCGGTGAACTGCAAAAGGCTTTGCTGGCAGAGAGTGTGATGGAAGCATCAGACCTGCCTCAGAGGCTGCTCCGTGCAGTCGCTGAGTCACAGCCCACTTGACGTCAGGGAGGATTTGGGGCAACGTGAGCACCAGCCCTTGCCGTCAGAGGACACTGAAATCGCTCACAGCCTGGATGGTAAGGAGACTGTCTGGGAAGGCCCACTCCCAGGGAGGAGAGACGTCCAGCAGAGGCCACGTGTGCAGTGAACGGACAGCGTTCCAACTCATCCCATCAACTCGGTCACAGCCCCCCAAGAACCCGGTGCCGGCCCCGGAAGGAAACAAGGGCGGCCTCCGTCCCTCCGGCAGGGAGGGTGCTGCCGGCACCTCCTGGGAGCCTTACCTCGGGGACGAGTTCTCTCTCTTCAGGGTGTTGAGGTGGAAGAGAGAAGGTGCGAGGCATACGGCGAGGTTGGTCGGCGTCATCTGGTTTTCTTTCACGGCAGCGGTGACGTCGCTCAGGAAATACAGCAGCGTCTGTAGCACCTCCCGGTTCTCGTCCGGCAGGAGCATAATGGCGGCCTTGATCGCCTGGAGACGCTGGTCCTTGGGCACATCTGCACAACACCAGCATTTCCCCGTCAGTCAGTGATTTTCCATGAACGCTGCAAGGCCACGTCCCAAAGCAAATATCGGCTTCAAATACCTCAGGGCCCAGAGCTGAACGAGCTCTTGCAAGAAAGCGTACTGGAGGTTACCACGAAAGAAAACACGAATCGCCACCACCGTCACTACCCTCAAGTATTTCCTGCTGTATGGACATTTTAAACACCCACCATGCCAACAAACTCCCACCTCCACCCCCAGAGTTCAACGCACGCCTGCTCTCTGAGGTGCAGAGCACTTTCCCTCTCCTAAGCGTTTTTACCCCCGCCCACCCTCGCCCCCGTTTACCATTCCCAATGACTGAAAACACGACAAACTTATTTACTGGTTTGGCTTTAAGAAAAGGCCTTATCCAAGATGTGTCCGGGGGAGTGAAGAACAGAGGACTCCCAGCCTCGTCAGAAAGTGTGTCCTCTCTCGGGAGATGGCTGCTTGTCAACTTTTGAGTGTGCTTGTACACTTACACACTTGTCCTGGGTTTGTTCATTCTCGGTTTGGGGAAATGTGGCTAAAACTGTCCGTTTAAATAGAGACATGTTTCCCCCGAGTTTCTTAAAGGTTAGTGAGCTTATCAAGAGGCTTTTATGGAAAGTCATTCTTGAGAAGCAAACCCAGACAGTACCGTGAGCACACACGTGCAGGCAGCACTGAACGCAGGCTCAGGGTTCCTTCGCCACGCCAATCGCATAAGAACGCATGTGGTGGAAAAAGCAGGCCACTCCAAGGCGGCCCACAGGACCAGTGATCCAAAAGCTCCATGGTTACAATACATAACAAATACCTTGGGGGGGCGGGGCCGGCAAGGAATCCGACCCGTGTTTGCACAAATGTGAAAGGATGAAGCAAAGAATGAAATACTCCAGACCAGCTCCAGGTCCCATAAAACAAAGCCCCCGGTGCCAGTCCTACAGACCATTTGAGCACTGTGAGGCTCGGCTGCTAAATGAACATTGCTGTAATGCCACCTGGAGCCAAGAAAAACACCGGACTCTTCACATTATAATCCTGATCTCGACCATTAATTTGGACAACTGTTTGCTTTAAGCTTTACTTTAAAGGTGAGAGGGGCATGGTATCGTTTTTCCAAGAATTTCTGGGTGAAGCTGAGAGGAATAACAGAAGATGACTGATTCATTTTCCAGTCAGATAAGCAACGGGGACCACTGTGGAATGCTAAACATACAGTGGTCCTCGTAAAGAGATGGGCAGTTGGTGAAATTCCCAAAGATGGGGCGGAGAGCGTGAGATCTAGACACCTGCTCTGTGTAAGCACCAGAGAGCACGCTGTTCTGAAAACGGGTGAAAGACTAGCGCCTGGACGCAGAGACACACTGTCCCGGCGATGGAGACATCTGAAGAGGGACGCTTGTTTCCCGATTATTCCAGCGAACCACGCAGAAAACAGCTCCACCGGTGAGGAGGAGCGAAGGCAGAAACGGGTGACACGTGTTTCCAAGAGGTCACTCTCGTGGGCCCAACAGAATGACATCAAAGGCAGCCACCGGCTTTGGCTGGTGCTACGTTTCCCCCAACGCCAACAGCCCTGCGATCAAAGGGCACTTACACTGGTAGATCTGCAGGAAGGTCTCCGAGAGCTTGTTCGTCATTAGTGGCTCCGGAAGATCTCGAAAATACTGCTTCAGCATGTCTGCCACATCGTACGCAGACTGTCCCTCGTAACTGACACAATCCGCGGCACTCTCATTCATCTGGCGAAGAGCCTGAATCCGGGATTTGACCCCCGATTTTCTGAAGAGCCCCACCTGTTTGGAAGAAAAGCAGGAAGTGTTAGGACGGAAGCAGGCTGCCACTGGCCAATAGCAGCGTCCGCCTGAGCACCTCATGCCCCTGGCGGGACGAGCAGGTCGAGTGGGCGCGCACCTGGTCCAAACAGTGGTTGCGGAGGTATCGCATGGCCTGCTGGATGCTCTGTGGCAGGGGCTGTCCGGTGCGCTGCACGTTGACTGTCAGAGGGACCCCGAACACATTCCGGTCCTTGTAGTCTGGGACCTTGATTCTTTTCATGAACTTGGGCACAGCCCTATTGAAGAGAATACAAGGGGATAGGTTCACTTGTCTGCCTACACTTGTCCATCTCTGTAGATACACTGTACTAACTAGATACACACCGATCCGGCAACTATTTAGAATGAAATAAAGCTACAAGCTGACACAGATCGTGGTGACAGTTGCAAACCATGATCAATACCCCTACACTGTACAGGTAGGAAATGTTTGTCTGGCAGTACACGGGGCAGTAGGTCAAAACCACCAGCTCTGCAGGAGAAAGAGAAAGCTTTCTACTCCTGCCAAGAGGCACAGTCTTAGAGACCCACAGGGTCGCTGTGAGTTGGCATCAACAAATTCCTCAGTTGCCCCAGTCCCATGTCCAGGACTTGTGACAATGGTCCTGTGTAGACAGCGTACATACTGGTCATGACTGACGCGGGCCATTTCCCTCAGCACGGACCGCTCTGTCGGGCAGCGGACCTGTCGGGCTCAGTCATCTTCCTTCAGTGGTGGACTTGCTTTCTACTTTTACCCCTGAAAACCAGCCCCGGATGCTTCGGAAGGCTCCCTGGTGGCCCAGTGAGGTAAGCTAACTGAAAGCGCTGGCTTAAACCTACCAGCTGCTCCACAGGAGAGAGATGGAGACTGTTGGTGCTCAAAGATGTAGAGTCTCACAAACCGCCTGGAGCACTTCCGCTCTGCCTCGACGGCAGCGGGCTATGCTTAAAGACAGCTGGTGGATTTCCTTATAAAATGGCGGCAAGGGAAGAAACAGAAGTAGCTAACAGCACTCAGAACAAACCCGAATCCACTGCTTTGTGAGAGGATTTGATAAGCAATTTCCCATTCGTCCTGAGAAAGGAGGGGAGTCACTTTTCAGTTCCTAAAGACTTCAGGCACTCGGGGTAACAAAGAACAGGTTCATAGTGGAAGAGGAAACACGCCAATGCTTGATGATGGTCTAACGTAATGAGACCCACACTCCAGGACTCAACGGTGGGGGTCAAGCTGAATGACCCCAAGTCAAAATAAATTCTCTTGCGGATGACCCCGGAGCATATCCCATCTTTAGGTTTCTGAGGGGAGGTGGCAAAGGGAACAATGGGGGTTTTGTGAACCCTACCAGGGTCCTTGGAGTCCTGAAGCCAGGTCCACCCCAGCAGTATATGCAAGAGCAGGAAACGCTTGTCATGCCTTTGAAGCTGTCAAGCCGAAGCCTCGGCTCTACGAGTGACCTTTCCGAATGGGACAAGAAGGGGCAGGGCCAAACAGGAAAGGGCCGCTGTCCAACTGCTCCCCGTGCCTCGGCGCCCACAGAGCGAGACTTTTACATTTGGTCTCGACTCCTTGGAAAAACTGACCAGAACTCACGACGCACTATGGACTTCCAGATTCCTGAGGGCTTGGTGGGAAAGAGCGGGGAGGCGGCACCTCCGAAACGAGAATCCCAACTATGCGAGTTTTAAATCGCTGGCAGGGAAAGTCTTACTGTGCAGCACAGAGGAACCCTGAGCAAGACCAACCGCCGGCCCCCCCAGCGCGCGCTCACCCACAGCCACAACACGCTGCCGTTTATAGCTCGGAGAGGGGAGACGCCGCCCCAAGTCCCCGGGTCTCTCCATGGAGCTCAGTGCACGGGGCCGGGGGGATGTGTGCATAAAACACGCTTTGTGGGTGGGGGTGGGGGGAGCCTGGCGGCAGAATGTGGAAAGAACACATTACGCTCTCCCCCGAGAATCTGAAGCATGTGGGGATAAACTGGTCAATACTTATTTCTGTCATTCAGAACAAACAACTTCTGTATTTAGCACGGCTCACATAATAACAGCCTTCGAACAGGAGGTGCTTTGATGCTGAAGTGAAAACTCACTACGGAGCCTGGAGGAGGAGGAGGAGGAGGAGGAGGAGGAGGAGGAGGAGAAAGAGCTGCAGAAAGAAAAGAAAAGAACAGCTCCCCGGCTTGGTCGACTCTCCAGAGCAGACTTCAGGCTGAGGCAGAGGCTGCCGCTGCCGACTGGGCCACTTCTCTGCAGGGGTCCAACGTACTTGTACACTTCTGCAGGTCACACGTATGCCTGCCGAGAGATTTAAGGAGGCCCACCGGATGCTCAAGCAGGAGCCCTGGTGACATGTGGTGGGCTGTTTGAGCCCACCAGCTGCTCTGTCAGGGTCAAGATGGGGCTTGTGATGATACCTGTAAGGAGTTGGCCTGAGACCCACATCAACCCAATGGCAGTGCGCTCAATGGAAACTGGGGAATGCATGGAGATGTCCAACTGGACATGCAGGCCACCGCTGAGTTTCCAAAATCATGATGCACAATTGACCAACAAGTTACAAAGGTTTCAACTTTCTTCTTCTATTTTAGCCTGTGCTATTTTCAAAGTGAATACCTGCCTTACACTCACAAGGGACTGACTCGGAGAGCCTTTGCTGGGGGAAACAGGGCAACCAGGAGGTAAATGGCACCACCTTCCCCGTGACGTGCAGGTAGACCGAGGAGAGGTGCCGCAAACCCACCACACAGGACTGACGCGAACATACGAGAAACCGGCTCTGTGGTCTCACAACCTGTTGTCGAACCCATGCGATCTTTTGTCCTCCTTTCCCCAAGTCGGATTTGCTACTGTACCTCTCCCCACAGCGGGGCTATTCCTACCACTGGGAACGAGACCTACGCTAGAGGCCTGCAGAATGTTCATGGAAAAACGCCACTGACCTTTTCATTCCCTTTTCCCATGAACTTTGTTAAGTCCCCCTGCGTAACCTGATGGGAGAGTCATGTGTTCTAACCTCATCCGTGGGCAACAGTGGGCAATTTGTCACTCAGACAACTGAAAGACGCAGTCAACCAACTTCCTTACGTTTCGTGGGCTTAAACATCTCAAAACGCACCCACTGTCATGCAGGCAATTCTGACTCATAGCAACCCCGTAAAACAGAAGAAAACTGCCCGCGAGGGTTTCCGAGGCTACCAGAAGCAGACTGCCTCATCTTGCTCCCACAGAGCAGCTGGTGGGTTTGAACTGTAAGCCCCAAGGTTCCTTGATGCTGGCTTGCTGATGTTCATCAGCAGGTGCTGTCGAGTTGGTTTTGAACATAGCCACCCTATGCACAACCTAACAACACTGCCCGGGCCTGTGTCAGTCGCACGATTGCTCTGACGTCTGAGCCCACGGTTGCAGCACTGAGTCCATCACGTCAAAGGCCTTCCTAATTTTGCAACCCCTCCACTTTACCAAACACGAGGTCCTTCTCCCTGAACCGGCCCCTTGTGACAGTTCAAAGTACGCGAGACGACGCCTTGCCATCCATGCTCCCAACAGTAACAAATCTGGCCTCGAGAAGGCGGGGACAAGTTGTACTTCCATGTTCGCTGAGAGATAGTAATAAATGACAGAACCGATAAACCTTTAATGTTGGGTTCCCCTCAAGGAACGGCCCTAACATCCACTTGCGTCAGGGCGTGGTGCAGTTTTAAACTCTTACCAGCTGAAACCATGCTTGTTAGAAGGCGTGTACTTCTCCAGCAGGGCCGTGAGCTTTAAGAGCGAGTACTTCTGCAGCAGGTTCATCTGGGCCACCGACTGGCAGTTGATCTGCAGCGAGACAGAGTTTAAGCTCGGCCGGTGAGAGCTCTGGAAACTGTGCCATCTCAGCCTGTGCCTGCGGGACAACAGCAGGGGAGAGTGAGTGCCTTCAGAGGCTTCTCACAGGGGCACCCCACCTTGCCCACGAGAGGGCTCAACTTCCGGTCCCTGCTGCCACCGAGGACCCAGGAGGGTTTGGATGCCCTGCCGGAGCCACTGGCACCTGGGGGCCCAGGCCCGTTCTGCTTCCCCTGTCCCGTCTGCAGGGAGAGGAGAGGCGCTCTCACCTGTTGGACCTCGTCAGGGAGGCCCCGACCCCCGAGTCCCTCCGTTCGGGGATGTCGGCAGGCTCCTCGGGCTCGTTGAGGGAGTTTCCCGTGCTGTCCAGGTCGCTGGGCGTGGTGCGGTCGTTGTCCACATCCAGGTGAATCTGCTTCGGGGAGGACGGGCAGGGCGAGACAGAGTCCAGCGCGGAGTCGGAGTCCCCCTCGTCGGAGAACTTCTCGGACCACTGGTTGACTATCCTCTGCATGCCCTTCACGTGGTACAGGATGTCGTCCAGCTCAGGGAAGATGTCCTCGTTCTCCAGGTCGGCCAGGTCGCCGGAGCTGGAGTAGAGGATGGAGCCCGGCACGTTGTCGTAGATGCTCAGCCGGCTGCTCACCGAGCTGGAGGAATTACGCCTCTTCAGCTCCTTGGGGGCCTCGCCGCTGTCTTCCCGCCGGAGGCTGAGATGGCCAGGGCCGTGGAAGCTCCCCGTCCTCCAGTTCACGGAGGCGCCGGTGCCCGCGGGAGAGAAGTTGCCGTTGGAGAGGGCCTTGGGGAAGGTGCCGGGCTTGTGGTCTTCGGGGATGTAGAACACCGTGTCCTCCGGGTAGCTCTCGCGGTTCTTGAGGTTCTGCTCGGCGACGTTGCGGAAGGCCGACGGGCCGAAGGGGTCGAAGCCCTCCAGGTACATGCCGACACGCTTGTTGCAGGCGCTGAGGCTCCGCGTGCGCGTGACGGGGCTGGGGGTGCTGACGGCGCTGCTGGTCTCCGACTGGCTGCTGCTGCTGCTGGTCTGCGTGGAGTTGGACACGCTGCGCTTTCGGACCAGGGGCACGTTGATGTGGTTGCCGTTGAGGGTGGAGATCTCCACGCAGTTCAGCTGCTTCAGCTTCTCCTCGTCCACACCCTCCTGCAGGATAGGCCCGCTGATGATCAGCCCCAGCTTCGAGGGGGCCTTGTGCTTGCTGGGGTGGGCGCCGCGCAGCTTCAGGCTCTCCATCCGCTTCAGCAGGCTGCGCGTCTTGGACTTGGCGTTCTTCTCGGGGCCCTTCATGCCGAAGCTGAAGCTGGACAGTTCCCCGGGCGAGGGCAGGCTGCCGAAGGAGTCGTCGGGGCCCGCACGGCGGCCGCTCGAGGAGGAGCAGACGCTGAGCACGGAGGCGGTCCTGGGGGCTGCCGCGTCGGCGGCGGCGTGGGCGAGGCTGCTGGAGCTGCTGAGGCTGCGGACCGAGGCCACGTCCTGGCGCTCGCTGAGCTCGGTCAGCATGCTGTCGCGGCTCGCTGCCGGCTGCAGGGGGGAGTCGGTGGGCGAGCCGGGCAGCGGGCCCTCCTTCGGAGAGAAGACATCAAACTCTTCCAGCCGGGACCACCTCTTACTGTCCCTCTGGAAAGTCCACTTGCCGCTGATCGCACAGGGCTCGTCCTCATCAGAGTCCTCACTCTGCAAAGACAGAAAGGAGCTGGTGACCCACCGGGGCAAGTCCGGCAGGCGGCGCGAGCAGGGCACCCCAGTGCCACACTCGCCCTACTTCTTCGGTAGTTGGTTAACAGCGAAGACGTATTTATGGAATGTCACCGGGAAAAAGCGTGACCATGCGCGTTGCCAGCTAAATAAGAAGTTATTTTACGGACGCCCAGAGATCCACAGAATGTTCTTTAATGGCTCACAGAGGAGCCCTCAGATCAGTGAAAATTCCAGGCATGCAAAATATGTTGAACTGCAGTCGGCAACGCGAGTAGGGCTCCCCCTGGACAGCCTCCGAGGTGGCTGGTGTGATAGTATGTTTCCGTCCCCTTTGCAACTTCCATCTCTGGCTCCCCTCGAAGGGCACCGGGCACCGTCTCCTAACAGACGGAGGCAGGTACTGAGAAAGGAAAGCTGTGACTTCTTTTCAGGTCCATATTTCCCCATCCCTAACCTGGTCTTCCCTCCTCCCACCACCACCAGACCTGGGGCATGGCGGGCTAGGGTGGATTTCCACAACTGTCCTGTGAAGTTTTGACCTCGGGCATGCCTGTGGGCCATCTAACAAAGCCTCCCCAACGCCCAGTGCGGACAGCACAGTGCACTGGCAAACTCAGTAGCAATGTTGCCAACTTCTGTGCAGGGGTCCATGATAGCACAAATCACTGTGCCTGGTGGGCGGGCTAACGAAAGCACGATTCAGTGCGATCCGCATCTTTCCCAGTGGTGTGGGAAGTATCACACGACCCAAGCTTCCCAGGGCAGTGAGTGGAGAGCATTCAGCGCTGACGTGGAGACTCTTGTACACAGCTCAGTGGATGCAGACGTTCCAGTCCGTTTGTTTAAATGGTTTACCTCCCCAAGGAGGCAACCTGTTGCAGGTCAGGGACTCCAGGATAATTGAAATATGTTCTTGGAACAGTTAGAAATAATCTCCTTTGACCAAGCTTATTCCTGTTCACTCTGATCTGTGGCGTACCCTCCCAAGAATACCCCCACCTCTTGTGCTCAGACCTCATAAAGGGTCTTCACACCACAGACAGGAGAAAACAGCGCCCCAAACTGGGACGTGCCACCACTGGACTAGCATACGTGGGACCTGGCCTCCCCCTTCTTCCTTTCTCAATGCCTGTCCTCCCTCCAACTCCTGCTGTCCTTCACCATCCCACAGACCAGCCTGCAGCTCTCGGTCCTAGATGCCACTGCTGTGTATGAGGAGACAGAATAGACAGAGAATTTAGCTGTATTTTCTGTAGGGAACAACCTCCTGGCACTCGTTAAGTTCACAGCTTTAATGTGAGGGAGGCACTGAGCTAATCAGGGTAAGGAAGACATGATTTAGGTAAAACATTTACCAGTCAGCTGCTACTACCGCTTTCAACCGTCTCAGGCTACAAAGTCCTGGGGAATCTTCCCTTGAGCACACCATTTTACATGTACGGAACAAGGGAGCCAGTCTTGGAGAATTAAAACCCATAACAAAGCATACTCTGGTTTTCCTCTCCTCCTACGACACATCCAATACTTACTCTCTTCCGATGAGGGCTAATTTCCAACTTCATCACTGCACACTTGTTTAAAGTATTTAGACGCCTACAAGGCAAAGGAATAACATTAGCAATGGCGAATGAGTCTTTTTTTCAAACAAGTAAATTGTTTAGGGAGTTTCTTTGAACCCAGTCTCAAACACGCACTATCATGGAGAGAATTCCGATTCATAGTCACCCTGCTGGCCAGAAAAGAACGGCCTCTGTGGGTCTGAGACCATTAAGTGTTACGGCAGTAGAAAGCCTCACATTTCTCATGGGGGAGGCTGGTGGTTTTGAACTGCTAACCATGTGGGTTAGCAGTCCAATACCCAACCCATTAATTTAGACACCAATTAGAAACACTGTAAAATTATATCTAGTGATGTCTCCTTTCACATAAATAGAAACAGCAAGAAGGACTCAACCGGAGTTGCTGACAAATATATATAAGTGGTATTTAATCTCAAATCAATGTTCAAATGAAAAAAATATACAACTGTATTTAGCTGTCTTTGATGAGTAACGATCTGAAAGCAAACCTGACCGTCTTTAATATTTCACTATTTTTCAGCTTCCTTTACGGAACAAACAACTATTTTAAGATTCTGTATCCTGTAGCTTGAAGGATCAAAACCTGGCAGACTTTAAAACAAGCACTTCAGATCAGGTTCTTTTTCCCCCCTTCTTTCTTTCTTTTTTAATTGGCACATAATCCACATCATACAGGTCAATCATTCCTCAGAATTTTCTTTTGGAAAGAAGTCTTTTTAAAAATTTTTAATAATAAAAAACCTTAGTTGACAGTCATGTTGACATAAAATTAGGGAAATAATCGGGTTTTGTTAAAAATGAAATGGTAACCCAGGCTTTCCCAGGAAGTACAAAAAGCTGAGCAGCGCCTTCAATCTGGTGGAATCAGGGAGTTTTGCAGGTGAGGGTGTGAGTGACAGCACTGAGGTCCCAATTCTCCCTAACACTCACCAGAGAGCCCCCCAGCTCCCCCTTCCCGACCCTTTACTCTTCCACCCAAGGAACTTTTGAACCTTTCCCACTCTGGGGGCTGTCTAGTTTTGGGGCTCTACTTGCTAGAGCAGTCAGAGGTGCTGCTTAACACTGGACTCTTGCGTTTTCCTGAGCTAAGAACGGAATTCTCAGAGATGCACACTGATTGATGGAGGCTCCAGAGACCTCAGTCCTGTTCTTGCAGCTTGTCTAACAACTTGGACGCATACGATAGAGAATGGGTCTGCATGCCTGATGAGACTGCCTTTGGCTTCAGTCTGTTTACAAGTGCTTAAAATGCTCATACAAAATTCCTTATTGATCAGCCTGGGGAACCAGAACAACAAACAAAAACAGCCAAAGACTTTAAAAGGAGTGGAAATAAGGCTCCTCTGTAAGGGACATCAAGCACTTGATGGACGATGAATACCTCAGAGTCTGAAAGGCTCAAATGTTTTTTTAAAGATTTAAAGAATCCAAATTCTTAGTCTTAGGTCTGGATTTCGTTAATCAAACCTGGAATCAAGTACCCACTTGACTTCATTTAGGCTTTAATGGTTGAGTGGTGTTTATAACCAAATTTACTAGGCATGGAAATATATGGGCAGGGGGAGGGGCTTACTTCGCAACGCTAGCTGGGAGTCAAATGGGTCATTTTTCATTTGACCCTGACCCTGGAGGGCAGGTTTGGAAAGGCCAACGATGCCCACTGCATGCGGGCAGCACCAAGCTGATGGCATCAGAGTCTTGTAGTACCGAGCTTACTCCCCGGAGTTTCTGGAGGATTCAAGCCCCCGCCCCCCTGCCCTCCCAGTAATGCCTCCTGATGGCACCTCATCTACTCACAGAGGAGAGTGTGCCAGCAATGACATTAACAGTACAGCTGGAATGGCCTGGGTCAGGCAGTGCATACACAGTGTATCTGTCATCCTCATTTCTCAGGTATAGAAAGCAGCTGCTTTCAAATCAAGTCCAACTCCTGGCAACCCCAGGTGTTGAATCAGAGCAGGAAGTGTGCAAGGATTAATTCTTCTGAAGCAGATCACCAGGCCTTTCTTCCAAGGCACCTACAGGCGGACTCGCAGTGCCAGCCTTTGGGTTAGCAGAAGTGTGTTTGAGGCCTCCAGGATGCTGCTGTTACCTTCATTTTACAGAGGAGGAAACGGCATGGACTGACGTTAAAAACTCACTGCCATCCAACTGCCTCGACTCACAGAAACCCTGTGGAGGTCAGGGTAGAACTGCCCTTGTGGGGTCCCAGGACTCTGCACAGGAGTCGCATTGCCCTAAGCCACATAACTAAAAAATAGTAACCTAGCACTCAAAAAAACGATCTGTATTCATTTTTAAAATTCCTATTAATAATGGAAGTGCATCAGGGCAGATTCTATCCTAAGCATGACTCTCAAACGCAAGCTGAAACCCTGCTATAGTAATCCATCTGCCCAGAAGCCCAGCCATTCCCATCCCCCCAGCCAGCCCTCTGATCAGAGGAATGTCCAGTCTTATCTGCTGGGCAACTTGTATCCTGCCCTAGGGGGATCGGGAGGGGGCCCAGGGGGGCTATCCAAGGTTCAAGAGCTGTTGGGCGTGGAGCTGCAGGCGTCCTGATAAAACCGCAGGATGAAGATGGAAAAGGAGAAGACCAAGGAAGGAAACGGGGCAGTTTCCAAGTAGAACTTGAGAAACAAAAATGGTTCCAATTCTTGAAAGATCTTTTCTTGGAATAGGAGGCGTTTCCTTAAAAAAGAAAGAAAAAAAATCACCGGTGCTCCTTTGAATAGCGCAGAAATGGTGAGGACGTTTCTGTCTCCTCTAAGGTAAACTGCTTTCACCGCTCAGGCGTGTACAGGGCTGTTTCACAATAAAGCTTATGTCGAAGACCATGCTGGGGCGATCGCTTTTTCATTATAGCACACTACCTCATTTAATTCCTTGGTGTAAAGTAGCCGAGCTGTTTCTAGTAGATTCCACACGGGTCACACTATTTTGTTCTAACCACGGCCATTGTGTGGATTCCACTGCTCAGCAACCCTGTTTCAGGGCTAACCACAATCACCGGAGGAATAAAATTAAATTCCAAAGGTAAACATCAGGATGAAGCATTTCTCAGAAACTACAAAAAGACAAAGAACCTCAAATCAGAGGAAATTACCTGAGTTACTCTAATAGGTAGCTCTCTAGGTCACAGTATTATCTGCTGACCATGTGAGTCAAAGCAAGCTAATAACTCCTGAAGCTTTTATTGAGTATTAGCACTCTCATAACCTTGGCCTCCTCTCATCAAGTTTGGGTTATACCTCAAAACTAGCAGGATGGAGGCAAAAGCAATTCTCTCCAAGGAAAGGAACAGGTAGGACCTCCCAGTGAGAATGCAGTTAGCTATCTAAACCCAAAAGCCTAGTGGTAACTTTTGGCCATGACCAAGTGGCCTATTTAAGACTGTATCAACATTACTATTAAAACAGTATGAAGTTCACAAAGGCCGTCTGCCCTAAGTGGAAAATACTAAAAGAGATGAATTACTACTTGGTTTTTGACCAAAGGAGCTAGCTATGTAAGAACTTCAAAGATAACAGGCGAATGAATGCTTATCATCGGTCTCTCTCTCTCCACAGAGCACCACAGGTCCACAGACGTGCCGACAACATCAGAGCATAAAATACGGCCCAAGTCAATGTGGGAGGGAAGCATGCACGACTTATTTAGTAAAACCTTTCAACTGAGTCTCTAAAAATGTCCATTCCATTTTCCCACAAACTTCTTGAAGCCCACTCCCATATATTTAAAAGCAACTGCTCAAAACACTTCAACCAGGCAAAAGAACAGAAGTCTATGAAAGTCTGTCAGTCTAGAAAGACTGGCCCTTGAGCTCCACGAGCTCAGGAAATATTTGGCTCCCACAGGCCAAGCCAATGAAGTGCATCTCGGAAGCCAGGGGCTGAAATGTTTGTTACACTGTTCTAATGAAAGTACTTGAAACACATTAAGGATGATTTCCATCTTTTCCTTCTAAACATTAGTTCATGCCTTGCCCAAGGGGAACAGTTTTTCCATGAAAAGTATGCAGATACGAATATATGCACAAGAACCTCTGGTTGGGTTTGCTGATACAAATAATGCTGAATTTTCAAAAAAATGACTGATTTTCAAAAAAAAAGGCAAGGAAAATCCCACATCCCTCACTATTTGCTTCTCACAGATACCTGTAGTCTAACAGGAAACTCTCACAATCACCCAAGACACATTATTTTACATGTAAGAGATGCCAGAATATGCTGCAGAGTTTGAAGACGTGTATCAAAGTCTGGCTTCTTTTGGGTTCTTCTTCGAAGGAAAGACCTTGGAGCACAGCTTTATGCTTGCCAAAAGAGGTGGCTCTGGAATGATACTCAAGAGCCAATGTCAATCACAATGTCTCTTCCTCCAAAGCAACCACGCATTAAGTCTATGATGTGCTACAGAGCAGGGACACCGGGCTCCAAAGAGAGGGAGGGAGGGAGGGACGGAGAGAGGAGGGAAGAAGGCAGGAAGGGGTAACTCGAAGATGCAATCATGATACTTGGAGCTGAAAGCCTATAGCAACCCAGGAAGTCCTAAGCCTTTGCTTGTGTTCAGACAGCCCCACGCACCAAATGGTTAATGTGTGTGAAACGGACGACGTGATGCAAGGCAAGCCACTGAAAGCATTTCCTGGGCTACATCTTAGGAGTGACCTAATTCATATGGCTTATCACCGATGATGAACCAAAAATGAAGCAATCTGGCCCCACAACTAAGCACCGAAGCCTCCCCATGACGTTTCCTCATTCCACACAACATAGCTGGGCTCTGACACATCACAAAAGCAGGACTTGGAATCAAGTCTGCTTCTGAGACTGTACGTGGATCATAGGCATCTCTTAGCAGTCACTTAATTTGATACGAAGTGGCAGAGTTTCCATGGTTAAAATACGGCATTTGTCTTTCTTTCTAGAAACCGAGAATAAGTCTGCTTCATATACCAACCTCATCACTCTACTTATCTTTCCTTAAAACCACCGCTAAAGCTAGCTGCCTCCCACCACACTGTAGTACCTAAAAAAGACCAAAAAATAGGACCTTTGTAAAAAGTTATCACTGTTTTCTTTGCCTGCAAAGAATAAAGAAATATAGGGTATGATTTTACTTTAGTGATATTTTTATCAGCTTCAACACTGAAATGGAAAGAAAGTTTATTTTAATTTGAAAGGGGATAGATATTTCATCAGTGCATATCCCCATCGTCCCCATAACTCAGCTTTTAAGTTTTGAGGAAAATGATAAAAGATGAGTATCGTAAAATGAATAAAAATGTCACCAAGATGTGAAAGGATTACCAATATCCCCTCATTATCCCTTGTACTTCACTAAGGGTCCCAAGCCGAGGCTCTGCCTCAGGACCCGGGAGCACAAGGACCAGGCTTTTTGACAGCTTCATTCACAACCCACACCAGTGCCCCCTCACTGCTGGTCTCCTGCATCTCAGGCCAAGCCCAGTTATTTTACAACCACATTGAATCCTGCACGGGGAGCCCTGGTGGTGTAGTGGATACGAGTTGTGACCTAATCACAAGGTCAGCAGTTTGAAACCAGCAGTCTGTTTCAGGGAGAAAGATGACAAAAGCTACAGTCTCGGAAACCCATGGCAGCTCGGTCCTGTCCCCTAAGCCGGCTGTGAAGGGCATCACTTTGGTGGCAGTGAGTTTGGTTTGTCCGCCCTGGTTTCCAATCACAGATGCCTGGAAACTGAAGAGGTTCAGCAAGCTCTTCTGGAATGGAGACGATGGCCCTGATGCCAGAATGCCACTGTCCCCCACCTCCCACGGATGCTTCCTACTGTCTTATTTTCACCCAGTGTGACAGCCACTGTGACTGTAACTCTTAGGGTACCTGGCTTGGGTTGTGCAGCCAGCTATACTGCCGTGAACAGTATTTTTGCTCCAAGTTTACAAGCCTTCTGAAAGTTACATGTGTGAGCCATCATTTGGTATCAAACATGCAACACAAATATCAAATTTACAGGTCATGGGTGGTGCCAACTGCTAGCCTCTCAGTTACCAGGTGAGAGGCTGGTGGTCCAAGCCCACTCTGAAGTAGGTAGTCTTGGAAGCCAGGCCCGAGGATCTGCTTCTGAACGCCCACAGCCTAGAGTGCCCTGCAGAGCAGTTGTGCTCTGCTTACAAGAGGTGACCAAGGGTTGGACTGACTCGGGTAGCTAACACCAAGAAGAAGGTCAATTGGAGGACTTATCAGGGCAGTGTAGTTGCCATTTGTAATGACGACATTAAATAACAGGATTTTACCTTTTTTTTTTTTTTGAACTAAAGGGCCTTTGGTTTACAATACAGCAAATCACTAGTCGCATGCTAAGCAGCGACATGACAGAATAAAAGGAAAACAGGCTGATTCAGTGGCAGTAACTACATTACACACACACACACACACACACACTGCATTTACCTGCACAGAGCCTCAATGGCATCTCTGTCCAAAAAATCATGCTCTCTCTTGACCAAAGTAATATCAATGGGAAATAGGAGATCTGTAAGACAAACAAAAACAAATCCCTTTATTAAACACTTAAGTCTTCCTCAACAAATTCCTTATCAGAGAACCAAGAAAGCTCCAGTATAATTCACTGAGTAACTGGCATGTGCAGGGGAATAAATTGGACG